GTTAAAGAACATTTTAAAAACAAGCAGCTGCCTGTAAATAAACAAACAAATAAATAAACAAATGCTAGCTAACTACTATTGCATTTCTTTACCAACTGCAGATTTTGTTTTTCTTTTTTTATTATTAGAGTTGGGCTAGCTAATTTATTTTAAAAACTAGCTCCATGTCTGACAACAGGATAAACAAACATGTTTTACTTTAGAACTAGCTAACCAGACAGCCACGATAAATAAACATTAGCTAACTAGTCCGACATATCTTTACCAGTTGTCAGCTGGTATATTTATCACTGATGGTTCCACCTGTTTCCTGGAGCTTCTGCTGCTTTTAGCTCGTGAAGTCGTTCTTCAAAGGGTTCCTCAAGTCATAAACAATGTTAAACTTTTAGTTTGACAAAAATAAACAGATTTTACTTTTTATACTTTTAGATTGTATTTTTGCACTATTCATCTCTTAGCTAGTCTTTTTTAGAAAACCTCTAGCTGCTTTTAGCTTCAGTTCTTCTTCTTTTGGGTTTTAGTTAGTTTAGTTTTCTGCCTCTTTTAATTTGAACTCAGTTGCACATTTTAGCAAAGTCAATTGAAACTCCAGGCTTTAAGGTTGTCGGATCCCGGTCCTGGGACCTTTCTGGGCAGAGTTTGCATGTTCTCTCCGTGCATGTGTGGATTTTCTCCGGCTTCCTCCCACAGAGCAAAAACATGACTCTTAGGTTAACTGATAACTCTGAATTGTCTTTAGGTGTGAGTGAGAGAGTGAATGGTTGTCTCTGTGATTGACCTGTCCAGGCTGTACCCCGCATGGGCACCAGTGACCCTCGTAACCCTGAAAGGAAAGAAGCGGGTATAGATAATGGATAGAAAGTTAAATAAATCTTTCAGCCCCTTTTGTTTAGTCTTTTTGCAGCACACTTGTCTTCTACGAACTGCAAAGTTTCTTTATTTTTTCTTTTCCCTTTTTTACGACGCTCCATATTTCAGACTCCAGACGATGCTCGGCCTCTAAACGGCACTTAAAACAGGTCAACACAAGGTGACAGTGCAGTATTAGCAGAATACGGTCCAGGGGGAGACATAATTATTTGTGGGAGGATGACATTTTCACTGCAGCTTGTCGTTTATTTTCTCACTGGTTCTCTCCTGCCTTTATTCCTTTTTTAATACATTTATTTTCTATTTCCTCAACTTTTTTCTTTCTCTCACTGCAACAAGATGACCTTTTGAAAGACGCTGGGTATTTTGACACCATCAGCTGAATTAGGAGTAACACAACCGAGGGCCTAACACACACAAACACACTCTGCATCTTGTTTCTGTCTGAGCCCAGTTAGCTGCAGGAGTAGGTGCTGGTTTACAGGTCAGTGCCTTCAGAACACCTCGGGCTCACGTGTGATCCATACTAAAGCTCCTGACTGGATGTGTGTTTGCATGCGCCTGCTCATGTGCAAATAATGTGATGTTTGGTTTCTTACAGAAATGTGCCATGCTGTGAGGGTTCACTGTTTTATTAAAATATGGCCGAGTTCTTCTTTAGAGAGTCAGGGTGTCATTAGACATGTTCAGTTGAAGATGTCTGTTATGTACAACAGAGTATTAGGACCACACTATTTGTTTTTCTTTTTTAATTATGAGAATAAAGCCATAAAATGACAAGAATAAAGTCATAAAATAGCAAGAAAAAAGGCATGATCTCCAATAACGTCCATTTTCCATTCCTGGGTCATGTCAGGCCTGCTGTGGACAGCCTCCAATATATGTGACTGTGTTTATGAAGTAATCTGATTACTTTTGGATCACTTTTATTGTAATATGCTTCCATCCACATTATGTGAAAACTAAATTAAATGCAATGTCATATGGCTTTAGTCATTTTAACTTCCTGCTACTGATAGTTTGATGTTAAAATATTTATTTATTTATTTATTTATTTATTTATTTATTTATTTATTTATTTATTTATTTATTTATTTATTTATTTAATCATTCATTCATAAAACTGATAAAGTATATCTTCAGAAGATGCTCAACATTCCTCATTTAAATACAGTTGTAAGACTCATAATATCATGACTTTCTTGTAATTTTATGACTCTTCTGTCATAATATTATGACTTTAATCTCATAAATAAAAAATCTTGTAATGTGACCCTAACAATCCTTTATAATTATATTTATAATTATAATTATGGGCATTTGAAAGTCTTATTTTCTTATTTTGACAATAAAAGGCCCACATTGTGTTTATTTCAGAAATCTTTTTACTCTTTCTGTCAAATACAGTCATTTGTTTCTGGAAACATTCCTTTTCCTGTTTTTCATTTGGGTTTGATGCAGTTCTCATCCTTACTGCTTTATTTCGTCATCTCTTCCAACAAAACCCTCACACCTAAATAACAAATGGTGACACTTCTCCCATGTTTCAGTATCCAAAGTCTAAAAGGTTTGTTGACGCGATGATAACCGCTTCACTTTTATAAACGGGAGGCTGCCAAAATGCTGCTCAACACAAAGAAGTTTTATCATGCATGACAGCCCATTGTGCCTGAGAAGAGAAAAGAAAAGATTCTCTCATCTTTGTTTCCACTCCTTTCCTCATGTGGTTATAAAAAAAGCTGAAATCCCTGCAGTGTGAAAAGCAAACCTTCCCTCAGCAGACGGCAGCTTCGCTCGCTTCAGTTTGTAAATTCAACCGTTCTTTATTTCCCTTTAGTCACAGTCCTAAAACTGTCTCACTTGAGAGAAGAAAAAGACACAAAATACATAATTCCTTTTTTTTCATTTGAGAAATTATAGTTACTAATTACTGTAAAGATAAAGTCGAGCCCGGAGCTTGTAGCTTAATTAAAAGAGGTTGGAGTGACAGCAGAGCAGCAGAGACACTCATCAGCTGGTCGGGGTTCAAACTGTGGAATTTAATGATGAAGAATTTAGACCTGGGGTCTCATTTATAAAGGATTGCGTGGAAACCATACTAAAAGTGAACGTACGGCCAAAAGGCGGAAATGGCATACGCCAAAAAAAATTCAGATTTATAAAACCGTACGTACGCACGTTTCTGCACATCTTTCCTTTATAAATCACAGCCGCACGTCAGAGTTTGAACACAAGATCCCGCCTCAGGTTCTACCCTCTACACGCCCACACTCAACCATAAACAGTCAATGTAAAGTACCTCATGAATGTTAAGATGTATTTAAATCAGTCAGCTGATCAATGTCAAAAAAAGTGATTGGTTCAGACACGCTCCGTCGTGTGTCTGGAGGTTGACAGGTGCTGACTGACAGCTGCTCACGTGAACAGATTGTCTGTAATTGACACAGATTTTCCCTCATTTTGCTTTAGAGTAATCTAACGATTTTTATAAAAAAATCTCAGCTTCAGATTAATTTAGAGCCTGCAGGACGATAAAAACAATAAAAATAAAATTAAATAAGTCAGATAAAATTAGAAATAAGTCCAACGCTCTTCTCCTCGTCCTCTACCCCTCCTGCCTGCTCTGTTATCCACGGCAGACACCCCCACCCCGCACGCACACACACACACACACGCACGCACGCACGCATCCCCCCCGCGCGCGTGACAAAAATGGACTTTAAACATGAAGTTTTATAACATCCACACTGGTGAGGTGGATGCGCCCTGCGCGTGTATCCAAAGCGTGACTTTTGCTGTCCTGCTGTTCTTGTCGGGGAGGGGTCTGTGGGTCAGGGAGGGGTCTGTGGGTCAAGGAGGGGTCTGTGGGTCAGGGAGGGGTCTGTGGGTCAGGGTCGTCTGAGGAGGAAGCAGTTGAAGGGAGTTGCGCACGGGAACTTTTATTTAAGATTAAAGTTTTTTATTTCAAAGTTCCTCATGGCTCAGCAGCAGCAGCATAAATATTACTGTTAAGAAAACTGATGATAAAGTTGAATAAAATCTAAGTTTGATGAAGGTAAATTAAATCTCTGACAGTGATCATTACACAGTGTGGCTCTAATTCACCACTTCACCATCTGTGTTGCAGTTTCACGTCTCCAAAATGAGCGTACGCATGGGTCAGAGCTGTGAGGCACCGCACATTTTCATGTCAAGTTTGGATTTTATAAATCACAACCTTGGCGTAAAAAGTGGCGTACGCAAGTTTCTGGGCTCATATTGTGCGTACACCAGTTTTATAAATCCAACCCCAGATCTTTAAACACCTCAGCAGAGCCACTGTCACTGACGTTATTCAGCTGTTGATTTGGTTTAGTTACAGTTTTGATGTAATCTGCAAAAGAAAAAATCAGTTTGTTTTTCACACAGATCACTTAAAACCAGAGGAAATCTTCTCATGTGGAACACAGAACACCATATGGGTTGTGATGTTCTAAATATCGAAAAGTCARCATTTCATCCTAAAATCAATTCTTCCACTCCAACCCTCTTTGCCTTTTCTGTTCATGTCTTCACAGATTTTCTCTAAAGCTTTGATGGAAAAGCTTTTAATAAATTTAAAGGACCTTAAACCCCCTGCAGCTCTTCTCCAACTGCTTTATTAAATTTATGAGTCAGTTTTGGAGCTGAATGTCATCATGCTTAGTTTTCAGTTGTAAGAAAACCAAGAGATTTATTGTTTGGGTGACCCTTTTTTTTTTAAATAAAATTCAAAATATACAATAAAGCAACTTGTACATTCARCATCAGGTATTTTAGGAGCTTGTTTACAAATAACTTTCCTGTTTCTACAAAAAAGAAATAAAGCAGCCACGTCAGAGAGCTCCTATTGTAACTTTTAGTGTTTCATGTGAGTAATTTACGTGTGCACTTTCAAATGTAATGTTTTATTCCAGTAACAACTTTGTTTTTGATGTGTAGCTTCTGTGTTTATTGTCAAGGAAAGCTGAATAAAAACTTGTTTTATAGATTTATGTCGGCAGAGATGATCCTGTTTGATTAAAACTTACTTTATAAGAATCTATTTCTGTTTTTCTGATTGATTTGATTCCATTTGAAACTTCTTCTGTTTATTTGTGTTTTTTCTGCAGGGAGTTTTTCCTGCAAGCTACGTTCACTTAAAGAAAGCCATCGTCACAAACCGCGGGTGAGTTCAGTCCACTGATCGCTTTAAGTCACATCATCTGTGTAATATCTGCACATTTTGTTTTCTGATTAAATAAATAATGAAGCATGCGGTGTGATCCTTGGATGAAGCTCTGTAGGTGCAGTATGGCTGTAATCTCTTCTCACTCTATCCAGACTCCGTGTTCAAACCAGAGCCCCGAGGGGAACAATCTGCAGAACTGCTTCTTCTTTTTTTCTAATTGTTGTACAGGCTTATTGTCGAGGGACCCATTACACACCTTCCTCCTGCTGTTGCATAACAGATAACCACCTAAAGTAACCCAACATTTCCAGCACACTGAAGGAAAACTTCTTTAAGTCGCTGCAACACTGATCTAATTATGCGAGAAATGCAAAGCCTAAATCACTTGTGTCTACTGTATCTGGGAGAATGTCCCAGTGGAGTGGATTTTATTTTCAGCCGAGCTGTGAGGCGCTTCCTCTGCAGTTTAAGTGTGATTCAATAAAATCTTTTTTTTTATTAGCAGATAATTTTTGCTTTAGGACTCATTCACAGAAAAAGTAAGGCTGGTTTTCCTTTTACCACATGAGGAAAGTGACTGAAAAAGCTGGTATTCAGAGAAAACAAATCTAATCCACCAGTGAAACTTGAATATTATAATATTAGTAAAGGCAGGGAAATTAAAATTTGCAATTTTCTCTTTGACCCCAGAGCAAAATAAACTGTAATTCTTATTTATTACCTGTTGTATGGCATTAAATAAGAATATTGATCAAGAACTTAAAGTGGCTCCGAATATGTTTTAAAGAAATACAAATTTAAAGACCTCAAATTGTCTTTTTTACACTAACGTCTTTGATATGTTAATTGTAAAATGTGTCATCTTTACATTTCCCAAAGACTTTTCTGTCTGATAAACTAAACTAAACTAAATAAAGGTATTGAAGGCACAGTTTTTGTGTTGCTCTCATGGTCTCACTGGGAGAAATGAAACGCGTCGGCACCAGTTAAAGTCAGGAGGAAAACCAGAACAATCAAAGGGCTCCTGCTGAGCTGGATTAAAGATAATTATTTAACAAGTAAACACATTTTCTGGCATCAAAATGGCTCCAGAGGCTGTGGCTGCAAATGTGGTGTTTTTCAGATTCAATTAAAAACCTGAAAGTTTATGATCCAGATCTGTTTCTAAGGCTTGGCAATATTCGCAGGAAAAGCTTATTACCTTGTGTTCATTAGATAAACTATGTTCAGCTGCACTTTACTGGTTTCCAACTATCTAATTAATCTTAATAAACTAATAACAATATATCAATATAGTAACATTTTAAGGGCTGGATCGAAAACAAACAGCTGCAAAAGCTGCAATAACTCCAAGTGATAACAGGTCACACATTTTCTCCACAATTTGAACTTTTGAAATTTTTAAACCAAAAAGGCTTAAAATTTATTCATTTTGCCACTTTACTCTAGCATGAAAAGCAGCGGGAGATGTGCATTTCTTAAAGAAATTATTTTAATGTCTTAAGTGTGGGACTATGTTTCCACATTCTATAAAGACTTTCAAATTCAAGAGTTCAAGTTATCTTTAATCTCCCCACAGGGCAATTTGTGTTACAGCCAGCAGGGAACAAAATACATTCATCAACAATAAATACAGTAGACAATAAAAACTATCAGATAGGCATATCTACTTACAAACAACACTCAACAAGAAGTATTTAAAAGGACAATAACAGAATAAATTCTTAAATCTGCTGATTCTGCATGTTTTTGAGGCCAGTCTGCGTCCTGATGGTGAAAGAGAAAACTCTGTGAACACTGGGTGGTTAGGCTCAGCTAAAACTGCCCGAGTTTTCTTAAAACGAGATGTTATTTAGTGAGACGTTGGCAATTTTGCTGCAAAGGCTGACAGTGTGGTGTGTGCATCGTTTTGTTTTTCTGTGTCAATAACCCACACCAGCAAATAAAAGAAAGAGTAAGAACAGATTCAATAAAACACTCTGATGTTAATTTTTTTTAATTTACAGTAAAATTGCATAATGTTGTGCTTTCTTGCATACAGTATCCACGTTTATCAAAAGAGTCTGTTGTCAATGAAAGTACATCTTCAACGTTTCTTAGATTACTGTTAAACCATTGTCTTCTTTATAACTTTTCTTTTTTGTTGTTGTTTCTTTATTCCATCCACTTATTTGCCAGTTGTTTTTTTTATTTAAAGTAGGTACCCTCATGGAGCAAAGCAGTTTAGATATTCAAAAAGAAACCTCTTCAGAAACGGATTTAATTTTTATGAGCCTCAGTTTCTCTAATCTGTCTGCAGCTTTTCAAGCATGTGAGCATCAGTTTTTTTCTTTAATGACATCGGCTGAAATAGTTTTTGAAAGTTGGCTAAAATTACTTTCTTCTTCCCCAAAGGATATTTTACAGGCGGAGGATAACACTTTTCTCTCAGTTTATTTTTTCTGTTTAAAAGTTGTTCTTTTCCATCAGATGTCACGTTTTACTGTCCAACATGAGAGTTTTTGTTCATTTTACTGTAAGTGTTGTGATGTTTAAACAGGATGACTGTGGTGTCAGAGAGAAAACCTGAGTAAACATCTATTTTTTAAATGTCAGAATAAAAATATAGAAAAAAGTTGGTTAAATGTGAATCAGATCTAGAGGAAAAACACTCAAACTAGAGACGTGAATAAATAAAGAACTGAAGACAGATTATATAAATATGTGTCAGAAGGAGGTAAAGAGTTGAAAACTCCGATCAGATAAAGAAAAAGGAAACAAAGATGGAGGAACCAGAAAGGAGGAGACTTTTAAAGACAAACGCACTAATGTGGATGAAATCAGCCGGCAGCTTCGGCTCAGCTGGGAGGCAGACTAATCTGGAACATTAGCTGTTATTAATTAATCAGTTTTCAGACGGCATGAAAAGGAGAAAAGGAGGAACACACGAGGAGCAGAAGAACAGAAACAAAACGAGTGAAAAACGTCGCGGCTTGAGAGTAAAAAGGAAACTTTTGCTTTTATTTCTGATTTCTGGATTGAAACTGTGAGTCAGTGTTCAGATTTATGATCCCGGGACAAAGTAACTAAAAACAAACACGTAAATACACATTAGTTCATTTGGAATGATTTATTTAAAGGTTAAATCTGACTTTAAATCTTTTAAGTTAAAGAACATTTTTTTAGATGTGCTGTAAATACTGTGTATAAAGCTACTTTAATGTGAAACGTGTTGTATAATGCTTAATAATTATAATAAAAGCTGCAAATGAAGATTTTATCAGACATATTAATTTCTCTGTCATTAATCAGACTTTATTAGAAAAAAACACATAATAGAAGTTCAGTTACTAAGTCCAATTATAATTTTTGTGTCTATTAGAAAAACTGGTTTTAATTACATGATATATTTACATCCAGCATGTTGTTTAGTCCTGTTTTTGATAGTTTGGGTGGTTTTTTTAGGGTTTTCTTGAGTCTGGCCATGTTTAAAACTTTGGTACTTTCTGTTTTTTGTTGAAAATGCTTAAAYTGTATAAGTTTAAAGCTTTATTTTAGATTTTATCAATAGCCTAATTACACAGAAGAGTCGTCCAGATCAACTGTTTTTGAAATTCTGTTTACAGAAATCGTTCTCAAGTTGTTTTTGGTGCTTTACTGAACTGTCACTTTGAAATGCCAACACAAAATAATTCACAAATGTTGAAATCTTATTGAATGTATCGTTACGATATAACAAGATGTTTTCCTGTTGGTGTTTATTTCAGCCTCGAGTGTCGTCTTGTGTAGCTGAACTCATTAGCTGCTGACAAATGGTTTCTGTTTCTGGTCTCGGCAGGCCTCACGAGACCGTGGTGCCTCTGGAAGATCCGATTGTTACTGAGGTGACATCGACGCTGCAGGAATGGGCTTTACTGTGGAAGCAGCTCTACGTGGTAAACAACAAACAATATTTATCACTGGGCACCACAGGACACTTTCACACACTCCAGCTTATAAAGACAGGAAGTGAGAGATGCGTGATCTGTTCGGTCATCATGAAGGAAAAAATCTCTCAGAAATCAACACTTTTTATTCATTTGAGCTGAATTTGATTTGAATCAGAATCAAAGTTGGGACTTTTTTAACCAAATTCATCCAACTTAATATTAAATCTATAGTTAAATATTTGAGCTTWTTTCTCCACCTTTCATGGTTTCCTGTTTGTCCCGTAGCAGCAGGTTGATAAATCTGTTTTGTGATTGTTTTGCATCATTTAAATCCTTTCTTACTGATTTCCTGTTTAGTCACATTTGCATGTTTCTGCTGAGAATATACAGATTTTAGCCCCAACATGTAATGTTTGAGATGGTTTCTGCCTTTCTTTAAGCTGTAAGTGCACGTTTGTTTAACACAGAAGACAGATGGAAGATAAAGACACAGAGTGCTCTTTTTCTAAGCTTTGTGTTTAGTTTTTTCTTTCCTCTTTTCAGTTTGCATTTAAAATAGAAGTCATTAAAGTAAATGTGAGCACAGGAAGTGGAAAAAAAAGACAAAGAAGTTGCAAAACCAAACTGAGACGTGAGTTTCAGACTCGACCTGCAGGATGTCGTGCTGCAAGCACATAATGTCTTCGCTATCACACACACACTTGAGAAACTTGACAATAGTTTTTGCTTTTTGTGAAAAAAAAAAAAAAACAGAATGGCTCCTGCTATTTTTGCACAAAATGAGGCGTAGATAACAGTTGTTGGTGGTGAAATACCAGAGCTTATTCCAACTTCAAGTCTTTGTTTGTTACGGAGCTAATCTGTTCCCTGCATGAGTGTTTTTCTTTTTTTCTAGTTGGAAAATCCTCAGTTATTGAGTTGAAACAGTCAACATGGCTTGTTTGTTTGTTTGTTTGTTTGTTTGTTTGTTTGTTTGTTTGTTTGTTTGTTTGCTTTTTGTGCTGGCTTGTCAAATATCTGTCCCCTTAATTGTGGTTTGTTAGATAAAATTACACACCTAACACAAAGACAACAACACTTCAATAAAAACGTGATTCTTTTCTCCTAAAAAACTAAATTTACGAAGGCAAGAAAAAAATACAGTGAAAACAGAATTACTGTAGTTTTCTGTAGATAACCAGAGTGATTTATTTACTAATATATGAGTGTAAATTTGTCTTGATTATAATAAAGAATATTGTGGTTAAAATCTTCAAGTATAGTAAGTCTGAGCTCACGTTGCATGTTTGTAGGCCATCTGTCTTTGTGTTTTTTAGATTATTCTTCAAGTGTGATTTGATTAAAAATTCATCTGCAGCTAAATGCACGAAGGAGTGATTTCGTGCAGCCTGGAAGCCATATTGAAATCTAAATCTGTCGCCGTTCCTCTTCTTTCTTTGCTCTGTGGGCTGGTTTCATCACTCATCTTCCGTGTGTCCTGCCTTTTCTGTCACTCCGTGCTTTCATCCAGAGTTAACTGACTTTTGTCTTTCCTTCCTGCCACAGTTAAAGAGATGAAAGACCGARTTGTTGTTGTCAGGGCCCGGGTGACTTTTTTTTTCTATTTCCGTCCTGACAGAGCTCGCATTAGAGTTGTGCCTGGGCTGCGTTGAGTTCTGCAAGCTTTGCAGTGACTGATAAAATAAACCGTATCCTCCGAGGTCCGGTCTGCAAAGGTTTAGAACTCTGGTTCTTGATTGATGCAACAAGACAGAGTTCATATCTGAAGTCAGAGCTGTCCCGTGGGCCCAAAGGGAACCTACATGATGTTAACACATGTAAAACCTCCTACACATGTCCACCCTGAGTCAGACTCATGACTCACACATACATAAAGATGTGCTGAATTCTTAATGAGAGAATCAGCTGAAGTTTGTAAARKTGACAAACGCAGMCGAGCCGAACACAACAGCTCCTGTTTTCCACGGTTTTGTTTACRTATTGTACTCATTCATTGTACCACGTTAACTCCGTGTGTGTGTGTGTGTGTGGGCAGAAGAAACGAATGAAGAAGAAAAGAGAGAGGAGGGGAAAAAGTGACAAGTGAACAATGATGTGCAGATAAGTGCAGACAGTGAGGTGGACAGAGAAAAGCACGTGGATGTCTGACAGGAAAGAAGGAAGGAGTGACAGAGGAGGCACAGGAGGAGGAGAGGGAGGCTGTGCTTGTCCCTGTTTTTAATTTAAGGATGAAAAGACATTTTCTGTTGCTGTGCAGAAACAGCTCTAAAGGCAWGAACTGCTGTTTGTGTTTCCTGTCYTCTCCAGCCTCKGTCAGTCCAAACAGATGGACTGAAGCTATTCTAATGTTTAGAATATATCCAACTCAGAAAATTAATTTACTCTAAAATCACTGAAGATGGAGGGATAGTGTTTTTACTTGTGTAGATAAAAGAAAACATAAAATAAGACAAGAGAAATAAAAAAAAGATRTTCAAGCTGTGTTTATTGATTTGTGGCTGCAGGCAAACGGTTTTGTTTATGCTTGTTCAATAATTAAAACAAGGTTGCAGATTTGCTTCTGGATTTAGGCGGTTGCCTTAAAATTACCTGGTAAATATTTGATGTCTGAAAGTATAAATGTTGAAGCTACAGAAAAAAAAAATACTAAAACTACGTTTCATTCAAACCTCAGGTGTTTTTTTTTAAGAAACTTGAAGGTTTTACTTCGGGTTAAGGCGATAAAAGTTTCTTAGGAAGAGGAAATTGCTGATTTATGTTAAGTTTTCTGTAATAAGACAATAAAACATTTGGTCAAAAAACATCTTGGTGCTGCCCTCTATGGGTTTAACTGTCACTATTATATTTGAAGTACCGTATGATGTTGCTGGTACTGTGAGACGTCAACAGTACTGTGCTCAGTATAAAAACCTCTGTAGAGACACGCCCTGCAGAGATTCAGGTGTTAGCCATAGCATTGTTGATCATAGCTGTGGTAGAAGCTGGCTTCTCCTCACCCACAGTGAAAAACATGGAGTCTATCTGTCATAAAACAATAAAGATAGATCATTGCCACAGCTTAATGTGTTCAGGAAAGAATAAAATGTGTAGAGTTGAAGCTTTAAGGGCTCGACACATGAAGAGCGACAAACTACAGCGATTAACGGCTGTCATCACAGCCAGGGTGAAACCCGACACACGGGACGCGATAGCGATCGCAGCGTTGCGAATCGCGCTCTCAGATCTCTTGTCTTCACAAAATTTGATTGGTTCTTGACTCTGAAGGGGGGTGTGCATTAAGGACGTGTAAACTAAACAAATCTTGTGATGCTAATGATATTGAAAAACAAACACACATCAAGATACAGTTTTATGAGGAAAAACTTACCA